TATGAAGAATTAAAATTATATATTCTATAATATAATCAAAATTAATAAATTTTATAACATGCTAAAAAGTTTGAAGATACATGTATTACAATTATTTTTTGTTTTATAAAAAATTCCTTTTTTTATCAATATAAATGTTTAAATAACATTTTCGTTACGGAGGGATATTTTTATCCAAATAAGAGTTTGAAAGTCTAAGAATGATTAAAAAAAAACTAAGGGTGTACCTTATATAAATAAAATTAGAGTGGTGAGAGGGTTATTTGTATTGATGAAAAAAGTTGAAAAAGGTTTCTGATAATAATGTTGTGAAGGTCATTAAAGTTACGTGGCCACTTGGGTCATGAATGAGGTGTGGTAGTCCTACCATTTTGAGTTGGTAACAAAAGTCAGCAATTACTTAAATTATATAGGTGTTGTTTGGCAAAACCAAAACCTAGGTTTCAGAATCACTTTTCCGCAAAACGGGTAACCTCCTCCACATATTTACTTTGTAATCCGTAAAAGTACTTCTGAAACCATAGTTTGGTTTCTATCCAAACACCCCATAATCAAGAACTGAACCTGCTAAGAATCACCCAATTAGTGATTCGTATTATTAATTTTAGCAATCAATATGTGCCCCACCTTTTTCTTCACTCCATTTATTTCAATACACTCGCCACGTGCTCATATAGGATTCATGTATTATCTACCTAATCTTATTTATCAATCGTTTTTAACATGTTTTATCAGAATAAAAATTCTCAAATTTCATTAATTTTACCTTAAAATTTAAAAACTTTCTAACCTTATTCCTATTTAACAAATTTAACAAAGACACTTTTCAACAATATAAACAATTTACATAATAATAAATAAAAGGTTCCAGTTAGATCGCATTTATATACATTTAACATTTTATATAGAGAGATCAAGCTACTTTATTTATTTATCCATCTTTATATATATATAGAGAGAGAGAGAGAGATTACATGGAAATATAGAGAATAATGTGAGGCCACATCGTCATGTTACTCGTAAAAGGTCTTTGGCATTAAGGCCCCTAACTCCTTCCACGTTCATTGCTACTTAGTCATGTCGTCATTGAATAATCATCATATCAATCAAACCCTCCACATAAATTGACAGCTTCAAAATTGTTTTAAGCCACAAGTCTCCCCATTTAACATCTCATTATTATTTATTAATTGTTAATTAATATATGTGCTTCCTCGATGTTTTCCTCCTTTTCAGGTGGATTTTATTTCTTTCCAAACCTTGTCTGCTGCTTACTTTTCAAACCATCATCAAAAAACGTGAAATATGAATAGGAATCTGAAATTTGAATTACCTTTGTCCTTTTTATAAAATGTCACTCATGATTGTCTAGATATTTAATATGTTTTTATCATTTTTGTCCCTTATTAATTTTCTGTATTGTATTAATTAAAAGGTTTACTATATTCTCTTTCAAATTTTTTTCTCTTGCCCCTTATAAATAAGGGCATGATTGGAAAAAATTTATTTTTTACATATTTATTATTTTTAAATAATTTTAATTATTTTTTTAAATTACGTAATTTAGTTATCAGGCTCTTATAAAAAGAACTAGAGAAAGTAATAAATTTCCCTAGGTTTAGTGAGAGAGAAAATTATTTGTGTTGTAAAAGATGTATATTTAAATAGAAAGTAGAGTTGAAAAGGTATTACATTTAAGAAATCGATAGTGAGATTCAAATTTTTCTTGATTTTGATAAAATCTATTAAAAATTATTTATTGATATGATCAGAGAAGTATCACTCTAGATGCGTGAAATTGTAAAGTTTACCTTATAATACTTAAGAGTGGAGGTAGCATATGTTCCCTTCGATCTTTTTTTTAATAAATTTTAAATAACTAAATTATGCAAACAAAAAGTTAGTTAAAATAATAAATATGTAAAAGATGTAATTTATTTTCTCAAAAACCCTTATTTAAGAAGAGTGTGAATGGGGGAGAGAATGAATTAAAAAGAGAGAGAATGAGGAGGAAAAAAAAAAGAAATGAGATAAATGTGTAATTAATTAGGAATTAAAATGAAAAAAAATGCGTTAATTAAGAAAAATAGACTAAACTTATTAACAAGCTATTGGCTGAGGTGATAAGTGGCCTAACCTTCTTAAGAGAAAGAATCCATATTTGAATTCTTAAAAATACACTTATTGAAAAAGACGAAAGCCTTTGTATTTTAAACCTTGAAAAGAAAAACCCTTAATTAAATAAAAAAGGTTAAACTTAATAACAAAAATTTAGGTTTATAAAAAGGATCAGGAGGGAGTAGCATATTTTGTTAAACCAAATAAAAAAAAAATACCATGATAATTGTGCATTTAAGAATAATAATTATTACCACTTTTTTTACACGTGGGTGACCCATACTCGAAAAAGTACCAACTTAACTACCTATAACTAAAAGTTCCCACACTCTTCATCAAAAACAAGGCATATGTGCTGCAAATGCAAAAGTATTATTTGATTTTGCCACTTTTCTTGGGGGAGTTTTCTTGCTCGATCCATGAGTACTTGATCACACACAAAAGCTGCAATTTCTCTGACTCATATTCATATTTAAACCCTGTTCTCTGTCTCACACACGCAGAGCGAATCAAAGTACGTAGTGGTGGCAGTGTCTTATTCATTCAATGTTCAAAACCCAGATGGAAAATGGGTCATAAACACAAGAGGACAATAAGAGAAATGAACGTGTGAAACTGAAGCCTGTAGAGGAGAAAGGGGGGAAGAAGGAGTGGTTGATATTTGCATTAAAGAGATGAAGTGACTTGGAAAGCTGGCAGCTCCACTCCTTCACAGTGACCTTTCCTTAACCCAATGTAGATTGAGGTAGCGGACCGCCCCCTCATATTGAGGGATCTGTGTCCTACATATTTGCACCCTCTCAATATTCTAACTCTTCCTTTTAAATGGTCCAACTAACGCCGAGTTTACACATGGATGTAGCCAACACCTTTCAAGTTATACAGGTCATCGTGCGTTAATATCCCCCAACTCCATATACCTTAAATTTGTATTATTGGACGGCTATCAAACATATGTATATTGAAATTCTAAAAAAAAATTATCTCTATAAAGAATGATTAATATAAAGTCACGTCTTACTTTCAAATGACAATGGCGGATGCTTGTTGCATCAACAAGCCTTGGTCCCCGACTAGAGATGTTATGTTCTCCTTGAGAATTTGTTGTGTCTGAAGAAATTTGATCAGGAAATTTCTCTTGTGATTGGAGCTAAAGAAGCGAATTTGGCTGCCAAAACTTTGTTGGATGGAGGGATTTGGTGTTTCGACCTCCTCTTCTTTTGTGTGGAGTGAGGAATGCACAGGGAGTGCCCAAAAAATGAGGAAAAAGAAAGAGAGGAGAGAATGTGAGGGTCATAGGTTGGGCTTACGGGAGGGCAGGTTCACCAGTTCCCAATAATGGCAACATCAGTTTCAACATGTTACATCGTAGTTCAACGCTGTCTTTCTTCATTGGATATGTTGGCGCTGTCACTTCAACTAACTCTTCTCCTTTAATTTCTCTTCCATATCAAGTTGGTCCTTTGAACCCAATTTTAATTTTACGAAATGGCCATTTTAATTACAAGGCAATTTAGTTACACATGCAGCAATTATTGGTTGTAACTTCCAATGACTTACAAAGACATCAACGTGTCATGATTTATATGGATTAGTGTTGTGTTCTCAATTCATACAGGGCTTCATTTGGCTTCTCAAGTACGAGATAACTTTAATATATTATAATTCAAGATTATCTGGGTGTCCTATATATATTAATGATGCTAAATTGGCTAAAAAAACTAAGAAATGCATAAAAAAAAATGGCTTCTTCCAAGTCTCATATGATCGGTGGGTTTGAGTTGATAAACTAATTTAAGAGATTAAGAAAGTTATGTTATTCGATCCATAAAAAATATCAATTATTTGAGTCTTTAGATTTTGAATTAAGATGAAATGTTGTTCACTCCTTGCCATCCATTTGTGTTTTATTACTTCCCTGGTTTTGAGCCTCGCTCCCCGTTCTGAACCAAATTTGGTCTGAAATAATGACAGGACATGATCAGTGGGACAAAACCCCTAATATAAATTTATACATATGCATCACACACGCCGTTATCGCTGTGCTTAACTACCTGTAAAAGACAAATTGAGGTTATAAAACCAGAGTTTCAGCGCATTCAAATATATATAGTTAAAAGGTAGAATATCAAATAATTTGAATTTCCGAATTGAAATCCAAACATGTAGTAGTAGTAATTCTTCAAATAAGTCCGGTAATAACTGAAATTTACAGGGAAATTAATTGATGTACAAGCAGAAACGTTGCATGCATATACAAGTCTGAATCTTTATAGCAGAAAAGAAAGAACATACTCTCTGGTCCTATTTATAAGGCACTTCCAACATGTTTCACACAGATCAAGGAAAACTTTAAACTGCATTAACTCTCCATTAAAATATAGCAACTTTCCAACTTTACCCCTATTTAATATATATTCCTTTCAAAAAAGATAACTATTTATACTATAATAAATGAAGGACAAAATAGTACATTCACACTGAAAAGTTAATGAAATGACTTATAAATAGGACAAAAAAAAGCCTTCTCTCTCTATCCTATAAATAGGACTAGAGGAGTATGACAGTAATAAACACAGTGCTGCTACATTTGTGGCAAAGTCACCTACTTTAGAGATGATGGAATTTAAAGAGATGGCAATAATGGGAAAGAAGCAGGAGGAAGATAATAATAGAAAGTTAACTGTAGAGGCAATTGCTTGGGGGGAGAAAGTGAGATGGGGAAGAAACAAGTCAAGCGATAACAATAAATGAAATTGTACTGGTTTATATATTATGAGGATTTAGGTGACCATTTTTAATGCCCCTCGGTACCATTAATCTCGCAGTTCGCCGACACTGTGCCTCTTCTCTTTATAATCTTCCCCCATATTTCCCCCCTCTCTGTTCCTTCTGTACTTTCCTCTCTTATCGTCTCTCCCCACATTCGTATCTTCTTCCTCATATCATCATCATGGTGCATTCAAAGAAGTTCAGAGGCGTCAGACAGCGTCACTGGGGCTCCTGGGTCTCCGAAATTCGCCACCCGCTCCTGTACTATTCTCCTTTACTTTCTCTCTCTCTCTTCCCATCCATCTAAATTATAATCAAATCACACTCTCAGTACGCATTTTCATTTCATATATACGTAGGTGTGTGTGTGTGCATTTACTGGTCCTGCTATTCGTTTTATTTGAATGTTGTGATTTTGTGGAACAGGAAGAGGAGGGTGTGGCTGGGGACATTTGAGACGGCGGAAGAAGCGGCGCGAGCGTACGATCAAGCTGCCATTTTGATGAGTGGTCGGAATGCTAAGACCAATTTCCCGATAACCCAGACTCCGGACGGTGATCCAAAGGCGGCTGTGGCGGCCTCGGCCACCGATCATAGCAAGGCAGGGGCGGCGAGGGATCTGGAAGAGATTCTGCGCGCGAAGCTGAGGAAATGCGGGAAGCTTCCGTCGCCGTCCATGACTTGCCTGAGGCTGGACACCGAGAACTCCAATATCGGAGTGTGGCAGAAACGTGCCGGCCAGCGTACTGATAGCTCCAACTGGGTGATGACAGTGGAGCTGGGAAAGAAGACCAATAGCAACAGCAACAGTAATGAAGCGGAGAAAACGACGTCGCCGTGGACGTGCGATGAGCGTGCAACCTCAGAAGGAAATGAAGTGGTCATGGAAGGAGGAGGAGGAGGGATGAACGAGGAAGAAAGAATAGCACTGCAAATGATCGAAGAACTTCTTAACAGAAACTGTCCAAGTCCTCCAGGACCTTCATTTCACGATATGGTTGAAGAGGACCATAACCATGCTTATGCTGAAGGCTTTCTCTTTTGACATTATGGTGTTTGGGACAAGAACAAAAAGGTGGGTGATGATTAATTTCTTATATGAATATTAATTAATTACTATATATGCATATAGGTTTATATTTATATATATATATATATATATATATAGGTAGCTCTAAGGCGAGGAGGTTAATTATATCAGTTATGACAAGAAACAGGACGGGTGTGAAATTTGGAAACTATAAGGAAGCAGAATAAGGCATACATACGAATATATGTTAATTTGTATGTTTGAAATTGTACGTACGAGGAAAGTTGAATTTGTGGGAGTATATATACGGAGCAGAATAAACAGGAATATTATATACACAGAGATGCTGTCCAGTTGCAATTGTACGTACAAGAATACACTTTCAACTGGTGTGTTTATGAAGCAGCGTTATACAATGAAAAGGGTTTCTAATACCTTCTTATGTATTTATATATCTTCTTGTCAATTTATTTCTTGCTGTATTCTCTTCTAATTTTCTCTCATCGGGTAAGGTCAAAGGGGTCTTGTAGCCTAACGATATATTGTGGTCATCAACTTGTTGTAATTTTTTTTTGGAAAAAAAAGTTTATAGATAACATATAGATATCCGAAATAGTTCAAATTGATGGTGAAAGTGAGGTATATGTGAGATGGGGGTAATTTGAACTTTAAACATTCGTAGTATAACAACAAAAGATGGTAATGACAATTAATATCCAATGGTGAAACTTTGTTATCCTTATGGTAGTCTTTTTCAACTCGACTTTACGAGAAGCCAACGCTACTGGACTTTTAAATATCGCGTGGTTTGGTATCAAAGAAAAAATCAGTATCTTAGTGTTGTGATGTACAATTCAAAGTTCTAAATTAATTATCACATTGTTTTGGTTTCCTATTTATTTTATGGCTTAAATATTCAGCTCTTCATCGTCAATTTTTTTTGTGGTATTACAAGAGAAAGGAAAATTTCAAATCCCAAAGAAACCTGAATTTGCGATCCTGTTATGAGATGATTTTTTTTTTTGATCGGTAGAGTTAACTCACAAGATTAGGAGGAAAAAAACAATTCTAATATAGAAAAATCCTTTTTAAAGTTTGCAAAGAATATTCGATTCACATAATTTCTTTAGATCAAGACGAAAGTAAAGTGATGAATTTCAAAAACTAAAAGAAGAAATCAATTATTACTTACTTTGGTATTATGTGATTATGCTAAGGATCGGAGTCAAAATATCTGCATGCAGGGTTAATTATTAGATCTGAATATTATTATTGATGCCGATGCTTAATAGACCATAAACTCCATATTAAAACAAAAATAATGTGGCATCCTTTTCTAAGCTTCAATTCATTCCACCCGACAGCCACGTCACCTACGAAAAGCAAAGTGTGTTCTTAAATAAAATTATATTTAAATATAATTTTTTTATATGTTTAATTATTACGTACATAACACGTCTATGTTAAAGTGATTGTATGCATGGATTAAAAATGCTATTAATACATGGTGGCAATGGCTTCCATCGTTGTTTTTATTACTGAATGGTAGTAAAATGATAAAAACAATTAATTAATTCATTATTAAAATTTTAAAATGACAATTATGTAAGAACAAAAGTAATTATTTTTAATGCTTATTGAGTACGTATAGTTAGTAGGGATTTATCGTTTGCCCTTCTTATTCTTAGGGAGATAATTTTTGTTGTTGGGATTGATACTTTTATGTATTACTTTTAGTCTTGATTATAAGAACTCGTTTGTAGACAATAAATAAGGTCTTATAATTAAGACCAAAGGTAATATCCTGAGATATAATGGGGTAATAAAAAAGTATCGAACTAGCTTAATTAATAACTCTATGGTATGTATGTGATTCCATATCAATCAATTTTTGTTTTCCAAAAAGTATGGAAATTGAAGTGTAAGAATCAATCCTTTTTTTCAAAATGAAACCATGTGACAATGAAGGTGAATAATTGTCAAAGTTTAGTTTTCCCAATTATATGCCATCACCGCGAAAACCCTTTTTCCAACAAACTGACAATACCTATTGCTGTCAAAGCAATAAGATATATATGTGACAACCCTTTTGGTCCCATGGTCCTTAGGTCCTGGCAACATTTAAGTTAGAAATGTGTGAGATGATAGAGCAAAATTTGAAACTTGTGGTAAATATGTCCGTTGCCTTCTGTGACTCCCCGAATATATACATATATATTTAAACAGAGTAAACTTGAAATTTTATCATGTTCAATTCTCACCTCTCATCTTCTTGATTTCGATGAGTTAATTAAAAGTGCTTTATAATAAGAACCAAATGGAGTATACGTACACACCCTCTCACACACATATATTTGATGGAGGGTAAGGCATAAATTAAAAAGTAATTTCAGTTTTTATAGCTATAGTGAAGTTATGCCATTAAAATACAGTCGTAGGAGAGTAGCTTTCAATACACGGGTAATAAACTAATAATAATAAAAGGTTGAATAAATGGAACTTGGGCTTGGAAGCTCGTGAAAGAGTTCAACCACTCCAACAAAACCCCATGACTCTCAAATGCTGTCATATTGTAGAGCTTAGCTAGCTAGTTAGATTCCATAAAGGCCGATTCGTGAACATATATTGTAGAACCTGCCACGCTAGCTCTTCTGTGGTTTTGGTCAAATATTATTGATTTCCAGGGGACAACAAGAACAAAATACTCAATACTTCCCTCGAAAAGGAGTCCTATCTGTCTCTCCTTAATTAGCAATGCCTATACTCATGGTCCATGTCACTCTTCCTACCAAATCATCAACAAGCTACTTTTCTTCGTATTTTATGTTCTTAATTACTTATGACCCGTCGTCTCCTTCTTCTGCTGAACCTGCTGCACAATCATAAAGCTCTCTGCTTTAATGGCTCTCCATATATACCCCCAAGTAGTCAAACATTTACGTACCTTTTCTTGTCTGTTGGTATACGCATTGATACATCAAGGTTCAAGATATATGTATATATGCACATTATATATATAAAATATTGTTAGCTGTTTATATTCATTGTATATACAAATTCAACCACAAGAAATGCCTTTTTTTTTTTTTATAGTTAATATCATCTTTAGTTCCTGAAATCTAGCATTGTTTTAATTTTGATTTTTGAAATTTGACTTGATTTTGTTTTGTTCAACGATTTTTAGTCCCTGAAAACCTGGTTTCAAATTCCACATATTAGAGCTATACCAAAATGAGATCAAATTTCAGAAATTAAAAATAGAATTATTTGACCATTTCCTTTTTTTAAAAATTTTTTTTCTTAATCGTGTTACAAAATGTTCAATTTTAGCTATGGATCAGATAAGAAAATAGAAGAATTAAGACCTAACAAAATGAATCATTGCTTTTGATTTCTTTATGTTAACTCACCCTCTTCATCTGCATCGCCTTTGTTTTGACCATTTACTAAACTAGAACAGTCAAAACAGTGTCGTTTTGATTTTGATGCATGACTGGGCTATTTCTATTGAAATTTAATCCTAATCGTCAGTTTAATTTTATTTTATCTTATTCTTGTTCCTCTTTAGGAACTACTGTACATGTTCTTCAAATTTTTGAGACGTCAAGTTTTTAGGCTATAAGTTAACAAACTAAATGCATCTTCGGTTATGAACTTATGTTATGTTGATCAATTAATTATATAAAACCTTGCGTTTAAATCTCTACCATGTATTTATTTATGGAAACAAACACTTATGAGATGGCACCTTAAAAAGTCACCAAAGATCAATAATTATTTGCATCTTAACTAGTTCAAATCAAGAGTACGTTTCAATAATTTTTCCACCAACAACAGTCTAATAACGAAACATTTGTTTAAGGGGAATAGGCAGGGATATTATTGTTGTTGTTGTTATCGTTATTTTGCCATGTATCCTTCTCATCTAAGGAACTCTTGTGTCCATTGCAGTTATAGAGGGCTGAATTCGTAATCTCACAATTAAGAAAGATTTAAAACAGGTGTTTAATGTTAGGCAAGAAGACCCAATAGGTAGTTAACTCGTTTCAAATGGAATTTTTTTTTCATTTTTATTCAAATTAAATAAGGTTATGAACGAGGAGGAAAATTATAAAGACTTTTATTTTTCTATAAATGAGTAAAATGACTTGTATTATGAAGCAGAGGGAACGAGCGAGTATTATTAAACCATATCAATCAAGTGTTTGGCATTTTAAAGGTTATTAATTTAATAACGGCTATCGACTATACACTTTTGGCAATAACTATAATAAAACACTAAAAGAAAATTAAATTTTCAGGGATTGCTTGCTTTGAAAGCCACAATTGTTTAATCGCCAACATATTCGGTCCATCAAACAAGTAAAAAGAAATATCAGTTGGCAACAAAAACCACCAACGAAACAAATGTCTTTTTAACCTCTTGGTGTACGTCTCCTCGTTGATTTTCATATACAATGTAATCCATCCAATTTTAAATATAAAATTCAGTAAAGAGTTTGTTTTACTTGTAAATATAATGTATTTTATTTTTTAAATTTGTATTTTTTTTTCAAGTAAACTCTCCGTATTCATTGCACATATTAAGAGATTTTCTATCAAGAAATTAATTTTCAATACAAATGATTTAAAAGTGTTGTATTAAGAATTATAAAAAAAAGTACTTTTAAAAAATTAACACAGATTTTTTATAAGAAACTAACTTAATTAAATTTTTTATATTTGTAAATTACTCTTATGTAAGATCTAATTAACTAATATTAATATATTAAGGATGTTAGTTAAATTAGTTAACATGATGTATTTCTTTAAAACACCCTAATCATCTTTCTTAATTTCTTCAATTTCTCTCCTATTTGATTATTGTTGCATGAATATCAATAGGATTAATTTTAAAAAAATAATTAATAGACATATGAAACGAGTCTTACATATAAATCAATTTCAACTCTCAAATTAAGTCTTAACTCATATAAGATTAGAGGGAACAGTAAAAAAAGAGGGGAAAAAAGGAGGAGAAGAGGTGGGTCAAAGCTTTAATGGCGCAGGTAATTAATATCCAGAAGAGGTGATGCCTTGTGATGTGAACGAAATAAAGCGGAGAGGAGAGCGCAACCACTAAGTGGTCCAATCCTTAGGGTTCTCTTGTGGAGATATCAAGTGGTTATTATGTTTCTTTCTGGCACATCCT